CGAATTTTTCTAAACGGTAAAAATACACATGGAATTTGTTAGGATCGTTTCTAGTTCAAATATCGCAAAAGAACTTTATCAACATATAGAGAACGAAACCGAGATTATGTTTAGTGCAAAAAACAAAAAATGAAAAAATGCATATATGGAATTTGGTAGTCGCAGCGACGATACTAGGAAGTACATGTACCCTACAGCAATAGCTAAAATCATATATCTATGATAACGAGGCATATCATATTAGTTGCTAAGGAAGCTGTGCACACGCATACAAACAATTGATTTCAACCAATTTTGTGTACGCATTTTTGATAACCTTTTGTAATAAAATTTTAAATTGTACCCAGAAGCTACACATGGCTATTTTTCAAAGAGTAGCCAAATTTTAAACTTAAGTTCAAATATATAATTAACAATATACCGTTATTGCAGTTTTTGAAAATACGAATAATTAAGGCTTGTACTTTTAATTGAAATTATTACAAATTGAATGTGATTTATGGGTAACAACGTTTTTTTCTACGAATCGTGCCTTAAGCAATGTGTGCGTGCCCAGTAAAATCAGTTGAAATAGGTAATGCATACCATGCATTTTGAATTTAAAAAATAAAAAGGACAGACTGTTTGATTTTTTTAATTAACTTTTCTTCACCATTTGCGTATATATATGTAAATGCCAAAAATCACATGTATATTGGTCTGATTATTGACGAACGATTTTGCTGGAGAGCGCATAAAGATCACGTGTGTGCAAAACTTCGCTCTGTGTTAAGTAAACTTTAGGTTTTAAAATTTAAGCTACCATATAAAATACTTAGATTACTTTACATGGCTCTAGCAGATTCTGTTATAAATTATGGACTTAGCGGTTACGGAAGAACTTATGTAACGTACATACATGACATTTACACACTACAACGCAAAATGCTTAGATTGATAGTACCTAAGCACATTAAAAATAAGTATATAGATAATGACCGGGGTCTTTTTAATTATTACAAAGTCATAAATGTTTTCGATAAAGTTAAATTTAATATACTGTCTGAAGTAAATAATTCAGAATACCTAGTTCTTAGAAAACGACCTGTAAATCTACGAAATATAGCTTATAAATCCAACATGTATGTACTTCCGAAAACTAAAAATTTCTATGGAGCAAGAAAGTTGGCCCATCTTGTACCTACTTTTATTAATGCCTTGCCACTAGAATTACAAAACACATACGGTAAATCAAAACTGTTTAAAGTAAACTTAAATCATATTTGATAAATCAACCATACTTATTGTAGTAGGTAGGTACTTCATACTGGATTATTGTGATTTAATATTAATACATCTTTGTTTTTATAAGACGACTCTCTAGTGTAGATAAACCCCTAGAGGTTTATATGCTAGTATTGTACTGGATAATGTAACATAATTATGCTTAATAAATTAAAAAAAATATTACTTATTCTGAACCTTTTTGACCGGTTATTGCAAAATAACCCTGTAGAGAAAACGATGTAAAAGTTTTTATTTTTTTAATTCTTTCCAGGTTATGACATAATATGATCTAAATATGATAAATAGTTTTGTTTTTATTGTGTCCAAAAGTTGGACAGTATCGTAGATGCACGTGTCAAACTAACGTAAAGTTGTGGCTTTATCCATCCAATTTCCGTGAGGTGCATAGTGTTCTCATTAAAATAATCTCATTGTTTTTTTTTTTCAAGTTCTGTTGATTCGTGATAACGCAATGCCGAGGTTGAGATAATTTAAAAGTACGCTAGCAACCCGGGTTCAATCTCCAACAGAACCACCGAAATATCTATTACAGTAGAAAACGCTATGAGGCAACCTGCATGTATGATAATACATCTGTTACAGCCTATAAAAGTCCACAACTGAAGAAACGCCTTCTTCAGAGATTGTCTCATATGGATATTGCCATAGTTACCATCCTTGGCAGGCGGGTTGACAACCGCAGTTTTTTTATTATTTTGGGTTGTTGGTATCAAGAAAATGCTGCTGCCCATTTCATGTTTCGGGTCCACCTGTATGTGGTAGTGGATATTTTTACACCGCCACTACGCGGTAAATGTAAGATAATATAAAGGAATATTTTGAGAACACGATGTGCAATCCGAAAACATGCATAAGATACAACAATTCGAACGTACGTCGCGAACTTAAAACTTTGGGCTTTAAAAATAAGGCAAAATTAAAATGAAAGTAGAAATAAGAGTAAAAAATCGGCGTTAAGACATAGTGTATTAAATATGTAACCCCCAATTCAGAAGCTACTAGGTATATAGAAATTGATTTATTCTTTTTAGATCTATGATGTCGCCTTTTCATTCATACATGAATTTATTGCAGCCTATCAAAAGTCCACTGCGGAACACAGGCCTCCCCCATAGATAGCCTCATGGAAGGGGGGGGGGAGGGGGACCCATAGTATTGTCATAGTTGTCACGTTTAGCAGAAAGGTTGGTAGCCGCAGTTTTTATTATTTTTGAATTGTGCCACTTCACAGCGTCAGCTTTAACCCCTTTGATCATAAGCTTAAATGTCGTCACTGGTTACATTGAAAACTTCATCCTTATTTTTCCACCCTTAGGGTGGAATTTTTCTTTAAATTTATATGAGACCACAACATCTAAATCAAAATTGTCACAGACATTGCGTAACATACACACAATAGTGTGTTCTTTTCAGGATATACATATGTCTGCCGTGTTTGTCAGTGAAATAAGTGAAATCTGTTTTATGACAATTTCCCAATTTGGCCTCAATGGCCAGGATGTGGAAATGGATGAATTACGGCTGTGTTCACTTCGCAGAACAGATGCTGCCATTGATTTTTTTTTTATAGAAGAGGGTGCAAACGAGCATGTGGCTCACCTGATGGTAAGTGACTATTGAAATATGTAAGATGTAAATTCTTCTATGCTGAGTGTCGGTGACCCATGGTTCGATGGGCGGAGGTAAGGCAGTCCATCACCCCTTTTCGTCCCGTGGATATCCCGAGGAGATATTAGGAAATACCAGAAAGGTCTTATAGCATTCGACAGATGGTGGTGTAACCAATCCGTTTACATCAGACGTAAAATACGTGTTAAATGTCTGGTTTTCCATCACCTATCCGCCTGCCAAGCGTGGTGGTTATGAAATCTACGAAATCCTTCTCATAACGGGTGAGGCACATTGCCAGCAGTGGAATTTTACGGGCCGATGAAGAAGACAACGTTTCAGATGATGGTCATATCGCTATCTGTCTGATGTATGCGTTTTGTTATTTTCATTAGTCGACTTTGTTACTATCCTTAGACTTAAATTTTTACGTGGTAGAGCCACGTTGCAGCTTTATTATGGTTGTACACAGCATCCACTTACCATCAGGTGGACTGTGTCCTCGTTTGTCACCCTAATTCTATAAAAAAAAGGCAAGATGATAGACGGCTCCGTGGCGAAGTGGCATAGTAATGAGTTGCAGCGCTAAATGTCTGGTGTAAATGTTTGTTTGTCCGTGTGAAATTTATGTATGTAAACTGCGCCCACGATATAGGAGAATAATCTTAGTGTGGAAGTTACGTTTTAAAATCAAAGAAACAAAACAAAAGAAACATAATTCCGCCAAATTACGGTGGATCAAATAAAAAAAATTGAAGATCCTCCAGTCATATCGTATCTTACTAAACTCACGGTATATGATCCATTCACTTCTCATTAGGTGGCCTGTTTGCACGTTTGTCATATTTTCTTTATATTAAAAAAGAACGAAAAATGGAATTAAACAGAAAGAATAATCATGAAAAGTTACCTATCACCTGTATTTCATCTTAACAAAGCGATATATCTAAAGCAATCTTTTATAAAGTAGAAAATATTTAAAAAAGAAAATACTTCTTAATAATATAATATACATTTGAATTACTGTTTCTATCAAGACATTTACAATAACGTAAAAATGCAATTATAAAATTGTACATAATTTATTCACATTTATTAAAAATAAAAGAAAAGAGGAATTGGGCTCGTCCGGGATTTGAACCCGGGACCTCTCGCACCCGAAGCGAGAATCATACCCCTAGACCAACGAGCCGATGTAAGGGTTGTTGAAAATGTATATCTAAATAGACGACACGAGACGCGACGCTTATAGTCCTCTTTATTACCGTAATAGGGACTATGTTGATATTTTTTATTAATGTCATCTACATCTGCTATAATAAACGATTCATTCGAAGGTGTTTAATGCGAGTAATTAAAATTAAAAAAAAATCATTTTAAGAGTAAACTGACTTATTTTGTTTTCTTTACAATTGTTGTGTAAAAACAAACATATTTTACACAATACATATAGTATGTGTAAAACATTCAACTCTGAATATCAAAATATTATAATAGATATATATTTAAAGCGAAACAAAATAGCTGGCCGCTATTGCCGTTTCACATATTATGTCAATTATCCTTCCAGACCACTTTGTGAGATGAAACTAGATTAAATTTTGCCAGATTTACCCCAGTAGTACTCTAATCTTTATCTAAAGGAAATAACGGCCATATTCGTAGGTTTTATGTGCAACTCACTAGCCGTTATCGAGTCATGCAAGAAATGTGAATGACATAGAATAGTGGTAGTGCCGAGGTGCCACTCTGTCTGCCACCACATTATATTAATTTGTATGCAGACAAAAGAAAAAGCTAGAGAGAATCTACAGCTAATATGAATTTAGTTAAGTTTTACGATACTGAAAATTAATGATCTCAAGCATAGTTTTATGTTATCATTCAAAGACACGTCTGAAATATTTCTATATTAGAACTATTCTAGTGTTCTACCAACTATAGAATACAAGGAGAGACTAAAAGAAAAGTGCGAGTATATTGTCCTCGTGATGTAAAAATGTCGAGTGACACCCAGAACATAGCTAGACAAGGCGCAGAAAAGTGAATGTGGTCAACAAATAGAATATCAACAGGTGTAAAGTAGGTAATTCTGGCAAAATCACCTCGTGCGGTGGGTCCAGGTCGTCTTCAGGCGGTGGCGCGTCGGTCGCCCTCCACGTCCTGCCGCTCCTGCCCCACACAACACCAAGTCACTTTTTCATCACAAACTGTGCACTATCATAATATGCGAACTCAATGCTTGTTCATATAAATATTTCTAAATAATTAGTTACTGTTTTCATAATGTACAGATTAAAAATATTTTTGACGTCTTACAACTTTAATCTTTTGTTTATGGCCTTCAGTCATTTAATCTTTGTCAGTTAAATGTATGTCTATCTTAGTTAACCTAACTCATTAAAAGGAGCAATAAATTTTTAGGTATATAAAGAATATTTTCGTTGACCAATTGACCATCAATACGAGAATTGTTTTAACGGGCAGTTAATTTAAAGGAACCCTTACGGATGCTGGATCGTGACATAAAACTGGCCGTCATGTAGATTCGAACGTTTCATGGTGTAATAAAACAATCGACTATGCTGTAAAGGAGTATTGGCGATAAGCCAATGAAATGACTTTGCAATGTTATTGTAGAAAGGTCTTAGGAAAAATGCGACATAATTTTCGCTGCGACATTTAAAGGGGAACGAATGTAAAAACTTGATAAGGACTCTCTTTTTCTCATCCGCACTTAAAAGGTACTTTTGCACTAAGCACTCTGAGAGTCGTCGTTCGGCGAAGGATTAACGCTTCGCTCATCGTAGTGTTACACCTAAAGGGTTCCGTGTGCCAAAGTATTACTTATTTTCATTTTTCCTAACCATATTTTTCATATAAGTCTACTGTTTTAAATGCCAGTCATGGCTATGACAAGATATATTTCAATATATTGTATAGCGCTCTATTCACCTGTAGGCGTGGTCGTGCGGTGGTAGACCCAGACCGGAGTCCTCGGAAGGAGAGCGGTGGTCCACTATTAGCGGTGCCTCCGGTGGCCCCTCCTACAACATATAGCTCTCTACTCACCTCACCAATATTCACTTTCTTGCTATTCCTTGAAATAGATTAACTCATACATAACTTTTGTAAAAACTCTTCTACTTAATTTATCCTCTACATGTATGTATACCATACATAATTCAAGATTGCACTTCTTTCCTTCTAAGCCCAACTAACATAAATAGTTAAAGTTGATTTGAACGATATATAAGTATTTATAAAATGTAAATATTTCTCTTAAAATTTTGGGTCCGATTTAACTTTTTAATGTCATTATTAATTGTTAATACACTGACCCTTACCCAACAAGTCTGTAACGGAATTAATAAAAGATTGCTATCAAAAATGAAAAATATTTTATACATGTTTAAAATGTTCTGTACCGCTGTAAGGTTTTATTGGTAGAGTCGAACGATAAAAACATTCCACTGTACACGACAACAAATATGCACGATATAAGCATTAAAGGCAACACTGAATATATTTTTAATACAATGAAAGCACAAAAATGAGTTTGAACATGTAACATGCACAATATGTATAGCAACATGCGTGTGACTCACCGGGTCGTGCAAGTCGTGCATGGTGGACGATGGCAGCATATGCCGCTCTCCTCCGCGCTACGGAGAAGTGAAGCTTCGTTGTCATTAAAACTATTTTACTATCGCAATTATCAATGAACGTGTAATTGTTTCATTACGTAATAAATAATCATAGCTTAATTAGTATCCTGCAATCCTCCAAAAGCTAGCAAGATAAATCTATCTTATAACCTGAAACAATTAATACTACAAAATGTGCTTACGAATTTTCATTATGTGAATATTTCTACAATATTGAAAATAAAATGAAAACTTTAAAAGCTAAATACAAAGGCTAGTCTCTTTCTGTTGGCTGACTCCGAAGAAATATTGTGCAAGTACACTATCAAGCTGTGTTGGACAGGACCGTAGTTAACGGAGTGAAAAATTCTAATTAGTGCTTTTAGAAGAGGAGCGGATTACGAGATAGCGGAGGGCTCAGGTTAATGAGCTGTGTGATTTTTCTCACAAACGCGGTGTCGTCTAGGAGTGTAATGTATTGTCTTTCGTGGTTTAATGTAGTGGTTCTTTTATTAAGCACTTCTAATGCTCATTACAATGCAATGTACCGATAATTATTGACTATGCTCTCATATCATTTAATATTTATTGGCCTAGTATAAATTAGACAATAGTTAATGTTTGGCTAGATATAACATGATAGGTACTTATTTTATGAAGTTTCAAAAGATTTCTTATATTTACGCGAAAATTACACATTGAATAAAACTATTCAATGTGTAGTGTTCTCGTAAATATAAGAAACGGGAGTTAATAAAAAATATGTTAATAAAACTCGATAGAATCCGTAAAAGATTTAGTTTTATGCAAAGTTTCAAAGGAATATATATTTGATAGTATTCGTTATATTATTAATAGTTTAGGAATATTTTACCTTAATATGATGTTCAGCTGCTTCTTCGTTCCGACGGTATACTAATTCGTCGAACCTTGGTCGATCTTCAGGTAACATGAACTCCCGAATTTCGGTAAGGAGAGTATACTGTCAAATTGAAAAAAAAAATAACATCATGATAAACCAGTATAAAATGTGCGTGAGGTGTGGTGATTATGTGAGAAATAACGTTACCCCATTATGTTCCTCACTGCTGTGGGTATCGTAGGCAACTACTGCAAAATGCCAGAAAAGTTCTTATGGCATACCATAAATGGTAGTATACCGAACAGTTTTGTTTACTGCTACCGTTATAGATTATTAAAGTCCACTGCTGAACATAGGCCTCCCCCATAGATTGCCTTATAATTACCACATTTGGCAAGCGGGTTGGCAACCGCACTTTTTATTTTTAGTCGTTATTAGGAAGATAACAAAAGTAGCTGCTTTGTGTTCTTCTGATTTGTGTTCTTCTGCCGCCTCTTCAAACCCACGGGATGAATTCTTACACTGCCACTACACGGCCCGAATTTGACTTTTGGCGAAACAGTTTTGTTTACGCCATAAGTAAAATACCCAGGCCAATGACGGGCGGCAGAGTCAAAGGTGCAAAACCTCTGGTACAGCGATCGTCAGTCAACTTACTAAGCGTGATGCTTAAGGCAAATCTTCTCTACAGGCTCACGTTTAGCTGTAGTCTTATAAGAGCTACTGAAGAAGAAGAAACCAGAGAGTGCACTGCAGTGATCGTTATAATTTTATGGCTTGTGAGTACCGACAGATGACGAATGGAAGGTCGACAGAAAACAGAAGGCGGAATATTGTACAATATTTCATTATCCTATGCCTCATGGCCTAGAATATTTATTGATTGAGCAACGTCTACGTTCAGTTATTGACTGAGTCCGATCTTCACCGGCATAACTAAAATTCTCTCATGTTGTTACGGGACTCTCATGTTTATGTGGTACTAATAACAAAAAAAAATGTCTCGTTGGTCTAGTGGTAGTAAAAAACCAAATTGCTGGTCAAATTGATGTCTCGGGTTCGAATCCCAGGTCGGCCCTACTAAGACTGTTATTGAAATTTTCAGAAATTGGCGGTGTTTTATCCTCGTGTCTCGAAAAGCATGTAAAGGATTACAGGCGTGACGTTACGTATAAAAATTATTAATAGTGCCTCTCGCTCAGCGGTGAAAGAAAGAGTGGTGAGGAAACCTGTGTGTCTGAGATAAACAAAAAATTTTTCGTTTGCGTTAAGTTCGTCAACACTTACTGGGGCAGCGTGGTGGCCAGTTTCTTGCTCTATAAACCCTCACAGAAATAAAAGATGGTCTGTGCCCAGCAGTGGAAAGGATATAATAGCTTACCATCACGATACGTCTCCGCAGAGAAACGTAGGATATTTTAAGAAACCTATAGTGTTAATGTATAAAAACATCTAATTATCAGGAAGATTTTGGTTACGAAAGACTTTACAAAGAGAACATGGAGTGAATAAAAATTCTTAAAAAAAAAAACAATGCCAATTATCGTAAACATGTTGAGGTTAACATGCGCGATTTACTTCAAATAACCTTGTTTATAGCCAACATAAACCGTTCCGCGTTGCTTAGTGAGAAATAAATCTCAACAGTCTGATCCTCCCGGTCCCAGTGAGGAATGCCTTTTTTATTACAATCATCAAGTCATTACAGTGAAATAAACAACGTTAGAGTACTTTATCGCCGTGGGTACTCAATTGCGAACGCTTACTTCGTCTACATCAGTGATTCCCAACCAGTGGTCCGCGGACTACGAGTGGTTCGCAACAGCTTAAATATGGTCCGCGAAAGATTTAACACATTTATTATTTACTCGTCACGCATCGCAATCAAAATCGCAATTTTTTACCAAAGATCGAATATCTATCTAATGTGTTTCATATATGTCAAATGTAAAGTACCCCGACTGTCGATGGGAAACAGCGATTTTTTAATCGCATCATCAATCAATAAATATAATGATTAAACATGTACGTTGATTGAAAATATGAGAATATTTTTTTCATATTTTATATGAGAGTTAATTTCACATATTTTCAATCAATCTATTTATTTAACATTTAAATAGCTTCTTGAAACTTATTTCGTTTAATCAATTTTATTTCCGCTCCCGCACCTTTCCCGCCCGCAAATGTATTCCACATTGGGCGCCTTAATATTTAAAGTTTGGAGATTATAATCTTTATGTATAAAAATTAAGACCGCTTTTCACTATGGGATATATAATATAATATATATTACATCTCGAGATATAAATTAATATCGCTCACCATACATTTCATATGGAACCGTTTACACTGAGCTATAATATATATTACACCTCAAGCTATAAATATTTGTTCGATCGACCGAGCGATATTTTCATATTATATTCCCGTGCGGGGTATAGCACTCCGTTCCGCGCCCCCGCAGAACGGTGTACGGGGTAAAGGGGGGTAATCCAATGACCAATGACGAACGCACACTGGTTAAAAGATATATCTCACAGTGTGAAAGCCAAACGCGTGATATAATTTATATTTCGGGATATAATACCTATATATATTATATCCCATAGTGAAAAGCCAGCCTTACGTGTCACGTTGTTTGTCCGCGATGGACTCCTAAACTACTGAACTGATTTCAATTAAATTTTGCACACTGTTTGCATTTTGGTCCAACTTGAGAGATAGGATAGTTTTTTATAGGAAGGGTAAGGTCCAACAGGAAAGGGCAGAATAACGTCTACCTGGCGAGCTAGTATTATTTACTACTATTTAATTAACGTCGGACGTCGTTCATATTTTAATTGACAGTTACTTTCTGTGGTGTGTCGAGCAAATCCCGCAGGACTGTGAGGAAGGCGTCAGGCGTTAGTCGACGTGCCGCATACTCCTCCATATAGTAGGCCAGTGCCGGGAGATCACTTGGTGGTATCAGTGACTTCGCCTTCTGCTCCACTGCCACCGCGGCTGCTCCACGCCTCTTGCCCCAGCCGCTTATTCTGTATACCGTTAGGAGAAGACTTATTTATTGTTCGTAAATTTATGTATATCGTCTAATATATATCGTCTGATTTATAGGCATAATCAAACACAATCGATAGTATACCAATAGTTTTTATAAAAAACAAAGTATTTAAACCTGGGGGCTGCATCGCGTTCTCCATATGCTGTGCACGCGTGCGGCACCTTGCCCACGTCGCGTACAAGAAGCGACATACGCTTGTGATATTTCAGCTGCGCGACCGCTTCATCGTGCGTCACATCCACGAACGACTGACCGTTCACCTCCAGGATCTGATCTCCTACCTACGCGATAAAGTAAATTGAGTTGTAATAATTTTTAACATTTGCTATAACTTATCGAAGTATTTCTATAACAAGCTGCTTAGCTATACAGTGGCAGAGTAAGAAAATTTATCAATTCCTTTTGTTCCATGTGACATGGTTTTTGAGATGGAGAAACGCATCTGTAGCCTTTTTTGTAGTAACCATTTATTATCAGGTAGGTTGTAAATTCGTTTGAAACTTTAGTTTTATTAAAAAGACTATTATTCAGCAGTGATCTTTGATAACATGTACTGATGATGATGATGGTGATGATGGTATCAAACACAAAAAGATGAAAAAATAAATCAATAATTGAAGAAAAATACATAAAACTATGAGATTCATGAAAGATTATAAAAAATACCATAAGCCCTGCTCGGTCTGCTACGGAGTCCTTGTCGACTCCCGTGATGTAGATGCCAAGGTTGTACTCCAGACCACCTCTGATCATCAAGCCTAAAGACTGTCCTGGCTCAATACACAAGTCCACCTGTGTGACAAGAAAAATAATTACAGATCAGTCTTGTTCTATTTTCTTTCAACAAATAATAGCAACGTTTCTAACAACTATTACTAATACTCCCTTTAACAATTTAAGTAAGCTTATAATGCTTAGGAGTGGTTCATGAAAGTCGTCGAATGGTGGATTTGAACTCATGACTTTCCGGTTTGTAATCCTCATCCTTAACCATTAAGTTGCTATTAGGCTACTAACTCCTCTGTATCTTTTCCGCCGCGCAGCAGTTTTTGCTGTTGCACGTATAAGCCGGCTCGAGCCGGGTTGGTACCACGACCTCACAGAATACCGGCGTGAAGTAGAAGCTCTGCTTCTGCGTTTCGTCTGTTGAGTGCAGGTGGCCGGAGGCCCTTTTTACTGGAAATGAGGCATTCCATCCCCCCCCCATCAACATGGTAGTGGAATTACATCATAAACTACCCCAGGAGGGTACCAGTACCCCTGGAGAATCCCTCGCTGAGCATCCACGACCATGTTATTCCACTCCTGAGCGTGGGTGCTCAGGCTGCCCCGCGTATTCTGGGGGGGGGGGGGGGGGCGAAATTCCGCTCAACACAATAACTGCTCGGGGCAAACTGAGCAACAAGACCAAGGCGACCCCTGCCACGCTATCCGTGAATTTCTGCAACATTCTCTCCGGATGATATTTCGTATCTCTCCTACCAGGTGTACAAATTGGAGCACTCCTTTGTGCCTCGGGCTGGAGTTTGAGTGTATGTCAGAGAGAACATCTGTACTCGACGCCTCAGCAGTCTTGAAGGTTCGGACCTGTCCATCCTATGGCTACGCGTAGACAGACACAACATCCGCGCTCTACGGGTGCCTCTATAGGTCCCATAGCGGTAATGCCGAAACAGACCGACTCATTGACCACGTCCAAATGGCTACAGATTCTTTGCTACAACAGGTCCCATACGCAGAGATCGTGATCCTTGGCGATTTTAACGCCCACCACGCCGAATGGCTCGGTTCACGTTTAACCGATCATGCGGGGAGATCTGTTTAAGACTTTGCTTTGGCATATGGTCTGACACAACTGGTTACTTCGCCTACGCGGATTCCAAATGTGGAGGATCTTACACCTTCCCTGTTGGACCTTCTGCTGACCTCTCATCCGGACGGATATCAGATTTCCGTCGATGCCCCTCTCGGCTCTTCAGACCATTGTCTGATCCGGAGTGTGGTGCCAATCACGCTTCCCTCGCGGTTGCGTTCTGCAGGTTGCCGCCGTGTTTGGCATTACAGGTCGGTGGATTGGGACGGAATGCGGTCTTTCTTTGCATCCTACCCATGGGGGCGGGTTTGCTTCTCGCCGGATGATCCCAGCGCTGTTGCTGACTCAGTCACTGATGTGGTGCTACAAGGAATGGAACTATTTATTCCCTCATCTGTGGTACCCATCGGAGGCAGATATCAGCCTTGGTTTGGTCGCTCCTGTAAGACTGCATTACGCAGTAAGCAGGAGTGTTATTAAGCCTGGGCTGCGGCTTCGGCGACTCGGGATGTAAACACCAGCACACTTAAAAAGAAGTATAACTTCGACTCCAGATCCTTCAAAAGAGTTATTGCCAAGGCAAAGCCAGAGCACATAGGCAGAATTGGCGAGAAACTAGTTCGCCTTCCTTCGGGAACCCGTGCATTCTGGTCTCTCACCAAGGCTGTTCAAGGGAATTTCTGTAAGCCATCGCTACCATCTCTGCACAGGGAGGACGACTCACTGGCCCAAGACGCAAAAGACATAGCCGACCTTTTAGGCTCCCTTTTTGCGTCCCACTCGACTCTTGATGACGGGGGGAAAACACCGCCAACCATCCCGCGGTGTGAGTGCTCCATGCCGGATGTGCTGTTCTCACAGCACTCCGTTCGCAAAGCACTCCTCTCCTTGGACATCCAGAAGTCGAGTGGGCCTGACGGAATCTCCCCAATTGTGCTGAGGACGTGTGCTCCGGAGTTGGCACCGGTCTTAACTTGTCTTTTCCGGTACTCCTACTCCCAAGGCGTAGTCCCGAATTCATGGAAGACAGCTTTTGTCCACCGGATCCCTAAAAAAGGCGACCGCTCAGACCCGTCCAACTATAGGCCTATCGCGATCACCTCCTTGTTCTCCAAAATAAGTGCCAATATTTCTCGGGAAAACGTGTCCGAGTACCGGAACAAACTTGTGTCTGAAGTCGAGTCTGCTGAACAAAGTCCCGGATTGGGAGCGACTAAATCTAGTCCAGTTTAATCCTCAGAAGACACAAGTTTGCGCGTTTACCGCTAAAAAGAACCCTTTTGTCGTATCTCCTCAGTTTCAAGGCACTCCCCTTCTTGCCTCAGCCAGTATCGGAATCCTCGGCGTCGACATATCGAGTGACTTGCAGTTTCGTGGTCACTTGGAAGAGAAGGCCAAATTGGCCTCTAAAAAGCTTGACATGCTCAGCAGAGCGGGACAGTATTTCATGCAGGCACACCGCCTGCAACTTTACAAGGCGCAGGTTCGGCGCAGAGCGGCTCGAATCGTCGACGACCGAGTCCTTTCCGATCGGCTCGATTCATTGGCAATGCGAAGAGATGTTGCATCCCTTTGCATTTTCTTTTGCATCTACCACGGGGAGCGCTCTGAGGAATTGTTCGGATTAATCCCAGCCGCCAAATTTCACGAACGCACATCGCGGCAGAACTCCCGATACCATCCACACCATTTGGATAATTGGCGGTCAACCATTATGCGATTTAGAAGATGTTTTCTTCCTCGCACGACTTCCTTGTGGAATCGATTACCATCAGCGATTTTTCCGGACCGATACGACTTAGGGACCTTCAAGAAAAGAGCCTACTCCTTTTTAAAAGGCCGGCATCGCATGTGCGATTCCCTCCCTGGTGTTGCAGCTGTTCATGGGCGGGGGGAGTCACTTACCATCAGGTGAGCCGCATGCTCGTTTGCCCCTCTCCTATAAAAAAAATGTAAAAATGGAGCTAATTTTGTAGCCATTTAGTCAACCTTACTCTTGAAAGCTTGTGGGATGTTTATGATTTACATAAACAAATATTCTACGAACCCTAAAATTTCCATGCCTTCGCAGCTTAATATGAGAGACGAAAAATAAGAAAGTTTCGCTCATTGCGTATCTTTTAAATATGCAGTCCTCATGCAGAGAATTTCATCTGTAACGTAGAGGTATTTTACAATTATTTTTACGGAATAAGAGTGACGGACAAGCCCACGGTCCACTTGATGCTAAGTGGATAATGTGGCCCATAGACATCTTCATTTATTCTCGATTAAGAATCAAAATGCAAATGCATTGTACCCCTTGCCGACTAAGATGGAATCGAATGGAATGGCTTCGAGCGGGCTTGGCGTGATCACTTTAGAAGTGAGTAGATAAACTGCAGCGAGAGGGTTGTTCTCCATGCTACCCGAGGCAGCCGAGATGGAGTCGCGAAGGAAAAAAATTCAAGTCGCCCTATCTTCCGGGACTCTAGTTGCGTCCCACCGCTGATACGGAGGAGGTAGGTCGGCGAGATGCGAGGAGTTCAAGAGAAGTGTTTTAGTTAATAACGATGTGGCACTCTCTCTACCCCTGCGGCGGAAACGTGGTTTGCGGCTAGAGACCAAAACCAGACATTATGCGGCTGGGATCGGGAAAGCTAGTTCTTATAGCCACATAGCTTAAACAAAATGGTCTTAGAAGGGAAGGATCCGTTGCAGTTGAATGGCTTAAAATTCATTAAATACAGATAAATGAGATGTATACTATAAATATGACGAAGGTTATAATTCTGTATTGGAATGGCTCGCTTATATTTACTGAACCTAAATATTGACAAAACAATGTATTTAATCTTTTCAATTTCCTCACCCAGTTATATTCACTGTAACTGCACTCTTCTCTCATAACACTAATATATAATTTAATTGCCCAAAAATTCAAATATCTGACCAAATAAAATATATGGGTTTAGTTTTTTACATTTACCTTTCTCTCCTGTCAAAAACAATACGAAAACTCATTCTCTCACAAACTCAAGAAGTGTGACTTAATTTTACTTTCAAAATTAAATCACACTTCAAACTTCAGTAAGTTGTAGATCCGCCTGTTTTGAAATTGATTTCCTTTGTTCCGTATCAAAGATTAGTTGTTTATTGTATTACTATTTAATTAGTGGGCCTCATTATTTAGATTAAACGTGTGAAAACTCTTTAAAAAGTAGGTACATATCTATTCGATTTCGACTTTCTACCGAATGTCTTTATTAATATTACCAGGTATCTAATAACAGCCCGTCAAAAATTTATTCTATGTAACTCTATTCTGCAACATCTCCTAATGAAAATAGTAACAATGTAATGATTTTGTCATTAAGACCATATGGCTCGTTCACACACGCACACGCGCTCGCACGCTCACTCGCAACAGACATACAGACTTGGCATGACTTTTTCTTGAAATACTTTTTTCTCTACTTCTCATTAAACTATTCTAATTGACCTGTAAAGTTTATCATTTATTTAGTATGCTTGTTTAGTTAACTTAGCTAATCTTAGTCTTCTTTGACTCCTTCATTTTGTCATTAATGATGATTGATCTAGTGTAGAGAACGACTCTATTGTTTTTTCTATATTATCTTCCTTTTATGTATTATGTAACATTCATAAAGCAACTATTAAAGGCTAAATTTATTATTAAGGCTTTTGAGTTTAAAGAAAAAACTATTGCATGCCTTAAGCGCAAAGCGCATTGGTATGTTCTACTAGCATCTAAAAATCAAGATTCCAACGTTTTGTCGCATAAAATCGTATCTAACAATCATATTGAACATATAAATGATATAAAAAACACATTGTCAGAAAGATAAATGATTGTTGAACTTATTAATATTTTTTTTTAAATCGTTTAATTGCTATTTTACTTAAAAAGTGGTTTTAGTGGCTTATGGTGTAGATTTATCAAGTCCGCATGGAGTGGTAAACACGATAACTTTTAAAA